AACAGCAGGACTGTAGAGATGCGTCTGCAGCCAGCCCCGAGGAGGCCGGAGGGCTCACTGAGGATTAAAAAAAGAAAAGGAAAATTCTCTGAGAAGGAAATGGTGGGTACTAGGAGAAATATGAAGAGAGCCAGAATGTTCTGGGGTTTAAGCGAGACTGCCAAAGGCTTCATTCAACACAGAAGCTAGTTCATCCAGTGGGCCGGGGAAAGGCAGCCCTCCTGAAGTTGGAAGGGGGTCAAAAACCCACGCCCATCAAATAGAGAGAGTGGACTACGGTCGGTCATTGCTCCGAAGAGCAGATGGGACAAAAGCTCTCATGAATGAGATGGCCAAAGGTAGTTAAAACATCCCCAGAAGAAAACCAGGAAGAGATACGGGACACACACACTCCACAGAGCAATGCCCTCTCCCCTGTGACACGTGCACACCCCTGGGCGCTTTAAAGTCACAGTCAGGTAAATCCTCCATTCAGGCCCAACTGCCTCTCCCTACTGAAGAGGTGAGGGCACCTTCCCTGCCCACTAGAATCCTGGGGGCGCCCCCTCAAGCCCTGGCCCAGCGGGCCCCTCCCCCATTTCCGGGCGGAGGGGGCCGGGTCAGGTCTGCCCCCTCCTCCAGCGGCAGGCCTGCCAGGTGCAGATCCGGGCTGTGGGCAACGGCACCAGCGGACAGGAGGCAAAGAAAAGGACACGAGTTCCAGAGTACGCCTTTCTTGACTCCATGCCCCTTCCAAATGCACCTTTTAGAAAAACATCACCCACTTAAGGACAGAAGAAAAGGGAGGGGAGGAACCTGAAGGAGACAAGACAGGAGAAGAGAGAAAAATCACCATAATTTTCTTGCAAGAACTCGAGCAATTTGGGATTTCACGCCCTTTTGAAGCTGAATGGCAGCTACTGAACTGTACTTGGTTTTGAAAACACTGCAGTGGGTGGGAGGGGACTCTGGCTGCCACCCTCACCCTCCTGCTGAGTACCCTGCCTACCAGCCAGCCTGCATGGCTGGGACCCTGAGGAGCAAACTCAGAAGGTGAGGAATGCTGAGCCGTCCTGGCACCTGCCTGGTTCACTGCAGCTCAAAGCTCAGCAAGGCCAGCTACAGAAACCCCTGAGGCCAACCAAGCTTTCCAACTGGCACAGCACCCACCAGCTAGCTCCTCGAGAGAAGGCTGAGCCTCACCACCTCGCTGCCCGCTCCTCTCCATGGACTGCACCCGGCTGGGAAGGAGGGCTTCGCCTGGCACAGTTAAAGGCAGCATTTCCCTGAGAAGCAAAGGGAAGGGCCGAGAAAGGGTCAGCGGAAGTTCCCTCTCTTCAAATCTTTCCTGTTTTCTTTTGCCCCCCGCTTTCACCACCACGGGATTCAGCGTGGTCTAGAATGGTGTGCCTAATCTGGTTGGAATTTCCTCCTCCGCCCACCTGGCATTCTCCCCACGGTCTTGAGCACTCCCGACCAGGGCTTCTCGCAGCCACCCCACGTGCTGGTCTAGGTGACCACGCCACTTGCCACTCTGGAGCACCAGCTAGAGAATCATGGAAAACCTGCCGCAAAGCCCCAGTTGGGAGGGAACGAGTAATTGCTACTGGTTGGCGAAAGCGCTGCGGAGCCCCCATGCTCCTTCCCTTGGTACCATGCAGACCATACAGTTACTGGGAACTGACAAAGTCCGAGTGGCCTGGCCCTTTATGGATTCATAAGCACTCACAGTCCACCCCCAGGGACTACATGAGAGAAGAAGGCACAGGAAGGAGCAGAAAAGTTGCCGAAGGTCTTCCAAATAACCCTTTAATAATCACAGACTGCTGGAGCTTGAGAGACATTAGTGATCATTAGGTTCAGTGTTCTTCATACTTTTTTGGCCATAACCCCCAGTCAGAAGGGGATTTTACACAGCCATCCAGGGGACACACACACACACACACACACACACACACACACAACCCAAACAATTTCACCAAGCAACACTTCTTACTATATGCCACACACACTTGTGTTTTGTACTCTGACCATTAGAGAGGCTAATCTTTCTTAAAATGTTGATGCCATTAATGGGTCACAACCCACAGTTTGAAAAACACAGGTAATTAAAGTGACTCTGAGGGGGGGTTAGGATGTGGCTTCATGGGAAAGCATATTTAACATAATAATTTTAAGCATTAGTAAGGTTGGCTTTCTGCCCCTGTGACCACAGCAGCAAGCAGCTCATCTGGCTCAGTGTCAAAGTGACCAGCACTGACTTCCATGGTCTACACCATCTAGGACGGAAAAACTGGGAAAAACGGGCCCACCTGATACTCTCACTTAACCTCACATATTCAAAGTTCAAAATGTGTGACTTATAAAATCAGAGATAATTTTTTTCCAGCATACAATTTACATTGACATGGCTTCGACTGTAATAATTCTTTGGAATTTCAAGTACCATAAAAGAGGTCAATGGGTGTTCTGTGTAAGTAGAAAGGGGGACAGGTTAAGAATGGGGAGAAATACTGAACTGGCCTGTAGCACCCACTTTACAGACACAAAACTAAGGCAAAGAACAGTGCATAAGGCATGAAGCAAGTTGGGGCAGGGCTGGACACCCAACCCAGGGCTCCTGACTCCTTTACTCACGGTCTCCATCACCCAAAATATTTAAGAAGAACACAGTCGAGGTTTCCTCAAGTGAAGCATTTCCATGACTGAAGCATGGATGCGTCCCTGATATGTCACGCTGGGCACAGACAACTGTGCTGATCTTGGCAGACCTTGGCACTCGCCTGCAGCCTCCCTGGGATCATGCAACAGGGCTCACACCACTTAACACTCTCTCTGTGCCTTTTGTCTCAGCTGAAAAATGAAAAGAATCCTTGCTACCCTCTTCTGAGAAAGTTGTAGTGAAAAACAAGGTGCTTTAAAACCAAACCTGCATGCTTAAAAACAGAAGAAGCCCTTACTAGTAACCGGGGCCTTCATTTTACAGTCAAGCCCCATAAGGTGAGTGACTTGTCTGGGACAGCCCCATTATCTATCCGCAGGTGAAAACTGCTATGTAAAGTAATACTAAGTACAGAGTGACATCTGGATTAAAACATACGACATCTACGGGGCAGAAGGAGCGGCAGGGAAGGAACTAAACACAGAACACACAATTTAAACATATAAGACGAATGCCTCTTTAGACTGACATAGGGAGTTGAAAAGGCATAACTAATTACATCTAATCCTAAAGATAAGCTCTGAACCACACTCGGCAAAACCTCACATGTGGCATAGTTCCTCAATGGAACGTTCATCTCTGCCACCCTGTGGGTCCAGTGCCTGCTCAAATAACATCTCCCTGCCCCTAACTTTCCCCATACTCTGTCCAAGGCACTGGAGACAACAGCTTCGAATATGGGAAATTGTATTACATGTGAGAGATTCCTTCCTGTACAAATGCCACCTGGTATCTGTCCAGGGTCTTTCCTGGAGAAGCTGTGAAAAGCTATGAGGCAAGATCTCCCCCATGCCCTCCATAACCCTGGCAGCAAGGGCCGTTCCCCCTGGGGATGCTGGAGGGTCCGAAGAGGTGATACCTCAGGCCCAGCAGCAGCATCAAAGGCTTGGGCCTCACCTTACTGCAAATGCCCACGCTTTCTCTCACTGGACTCCTGTCTGTCCACTGATTGCCAGCTCCCAGAGAGCTGCCCAGGGCAGGGAAAACCCTGACTTAGACATTCTGGTCTTCACACCTTGCAAGTGGGGCCAGCATCAGCAACAAGATACAGCTGCCAGTGGGGGAGCTCGGTGGGCCCTGCCTTTCAAGATAACTGCCACCCAGAGAGGTCCCAAATCTCGGAAAGCACTCTTGGGCTGGAGTCAGAGGAAACAGGTGGAGTATGAGCCCAGGCAGGTGAATCTGTTCATAGCTCTTTGCCTCAGTTTCTTCATCTGTTAATCCCTGGGTTGCTGGATGAATTCGACGAGTTATGCCTACAGAAGTGCAAGATGTCAATACCTGCATTACCTTCCTGAACAGGCGGACAGAAGGCAGCTCTCAGGCTAACAGGAAAAATCCGCCTGGCTGACGCTGCCTCTTTGCAGAAATGCACGTAAAACTACCTGAGGAAGTGACAGGCAAACCGAGTGCCTATTACACAACCCACAGTAAGAGTTGTATAGCACATGCTCTCCTTGCCTGCCCTCCTCCCTGCAACAAAAAGAGAAGGCAAGTGTCACTGCAGGGCTCACTGCCTCTAGGCTGCTCAGCCGCCCGAACTTCTGGGGGAAGAGATGTAGAAACCCTGAGAAAAGGGGATCACGTAGGGCGTCGCTGAACCGGTATTCCCAAGAGAGCTGCCAAGAACCAGGAGAACCCCTGCCACGCCTACGCCTCCCCAGAGACCCAGGGAGCCGAAGCCACACACCCGGGCCGGAGCGCGCACGGCCGAGCAGGGGCCACGTTTCTCGGCGCTAGCGTGGTTAGCGCTTCCCGGCTGCCAGCTCCCTCGGAAACTGCGCACGTGTGGACAGCCGTGGCCACCCTGCACGGACCGGAGGACGGCTCTCGCCGCGGCTCGGACACTGGGCGCGCCAGCGAGAGCCGCGAAGAGCTGGAACCCCAAAGCCCTCGGATCGCGTGGGCAGACGTGGTAAGACTGTGCAAAGCGGCACCGATCGCCCTCCCTCGGGCACCCAGCCGCCACCGCCGAGACCGGGGGCGCTCGCCAATTCTTCTCCCCCGCCGCAGCGCCGCCAGCAGCCCGGGTGGGGAAGGCGGTGGGAGCGGCGGTGCGTGGCGCCGGTCGGAGCACCCTCGTGGGCTAGGGGCGCCCCTGGGGCCCAGGCGCTCGGCGGAAGGAGCGGCCTGGCGCGCTCGCGGCTAGAGCGGGGGTGCCGCGCCCCACGCCCGCCGCAGCCGGGAGGAGAGGTGGTTTCGGGGCGCTCCCCCAGGCTGCTCTTGCGCGGGATGCAAACGCACGCGCGCGCACTCCCCTGTCCGCTCGCTCCGTCCCTAAAGTCTCCTCGCGCCTCACCTTCACTGAGTCTACCGGGTACATGACCGAGTGCTCCAGGATCCCGGCCATCGCTCCGGCTGTCATGTGGGTGGATAAGGAGGCGCTGGTCGGCAGGTTCTCATAGTCCTCCGACCCGGCGTCCTTGCAGCCGCCGCCGCCATCTCGGCTGTCCCCATCCATCCTGCGCCCCACAGCCTGGCTCCCTACGCCGCCGCAGCGCAGCTCCATCCGCCAGCTCCGCGGGGCGCGGGAGCCTGCAGGAGGTGGGCAGGGAGGGGGAGGGGGCGAAAAACTTCACTTCTTAAAGTGGGAACCACCTCCCCGGTTTTGCGGCGCCTGACGCCATGGCGGGCTGGGGTGGAGCAAAGGGGCCCGAGACACCAATCGCTGGAAAAGAAGAGGCCCGCCGCGGCCCCACCATTGGTGTGCGGGACACTGGGGACCCGCCTTCCTGTGTGACGTCACTGTCCAGTGCAAATTTCCAAGCAACCGGACGGGGGCGAGAGGAGACGTTGGGGTGTCCCGGGAAGTTGTACTACCTCCAGGGTGCCGCTGCCGCGCTTGGGGCAGGCTGGGCGGAGGAGGGGGTCTGGTGGTCACTGGAGAGGGTCGTCCGGGCCCGCAGGGGGGACATGCCCAGGGGTGGAGGGAGATCAGGAACAACGGATAATCCTTTCCCAGAGCCCGGGGTTTTGCAAACAGTGTTGCTCAGCAAGCGTTGGCATTCCTAAGGCCTGGAGAGGGGACAGTTGCTGTGAATGCCATTTATGGAGCAGTTATGATGGCCGGATAGGGGGTGAGGGCGCACGTGGGGGTGGAGTGGAGCTCTAGAATTGGAGACATTGCGCGATATCAGTGGTGCATCACCTTTTGTGCAACACAGGGCATATATCGTGGAGGAGACAGAGTCAAGGTCCTGTGCTAGGCTGCTTTGTTGGGGAGAACACTCATTTAGTTGAAATTTTTTTCCCTCACTGGAAGCACATAGAGCTAAATTTGTTCCTCTTCTTATTCTCACAAAGAGGCTTAAAGCTACCCTGCCCTCGACTGATCAAGACATGAGTAGTCATCAGAATGGAGCCTTTCTGAGGCACCTTCAGCACATTTTTCTCAGGACTGATATGCCTGGGAGATCTTTAGAGGCTGATGTCTCAGTCAGGTGCCAAGTGGTTCCGAGTGAAATCTTGCAGCATTGCATCTACCTTCCTTTTAAGACTCTGGTCTCCTGGTTCTTAAACTCATCCCAAGCTGACCTCTTAAAGTGTGACCCAGGCTGCTTTATTTCAGCCTCAACAATATTGTCTTGCTCTATCTCCGGGATGAAGGAGCAATCAGAAAGTAGGGGAATGACCTGTCAGTCTATGGAAGTCTCTGTGAAAGCATGGCATCTGCACATCTAAGTGTACATGTTCTGGGGCTTAAGATGTGACACTTCTGAGATACCAGACACCTTATCCAGGGAAGCCTTCTGGTCAGGAGAGCTGGGCCTTGAGATATGAAAGGGTGGGGGAGATCCTGAAGATGCTGCACCCACTCTACCCTCACCCTGGTTCCAAGGTTCAGGTCACAGCAACCCAGGCACCTCTCAGGAATTTGAGATACAGTGATGTGAGCATTGTTGATCAAGGCTTCCAGGCCGAGGGCACCAATTCCCCATTTTTGGTAGCTGCCAATAGTAGCTCCCAAGGCAAATGCTAAGGATGTCACAGGTAGAGGCAAGCTCTGTTTAGTGGTTGGCAGAGAAAATTTTCCCTGCTTTTACCATAGGTGATTTTTAAGAAACATTAATCAAAAGCCACTGATACTCATTTAAAAACGGATACCTTTTAACCAGTACATATTATTAACCAGTTGTCCCACTTCTGGGAATGTGCCACAGAAGTCTACATACGCGTAAGCGCCTCTTCAAAGCACTATTTATAGTACTAAATAATTGGAAATAACTGAAATGTTCAACCAGAAGGTAATGGCTGAGTAAATGATGACATGTATATTAGTAACCTATTATGGGGCCATTAAAAATTGTGGTTATGTTATGCAATGAGAAATGATTATGATACAGTGTTGGGTGAAGAAACAACACAAAACTCTATGACATTTACAAAGATGTAAATATTATGCACACAGGAAGAGGGAAGTGGTCATTGTGATAGTGGTGTAGAATTAAAGGTATTTTTACTATATTTTTCAGACCGAAATAATACATGTATTATTTCTATAACTTAATTCTTTTTTAGGATATAATCGCCTAATGGATGAGAAGCCTTCTGAACTTTGCAAATGGTGATGTTGGTGAAGAGAAGCCACCCTCTGGATGATCAAGGGGACTCCTGGCAAATGTGAACAGGCCCATAATCTTCAGAGACATCAGACTTCTAAAAATTTCATTAAATAAATGTTAAGCCAGAGCCATTTAGAAACTCTTTGGAATATTTATTATAAGCATTCAGTATTTTTTCATATCCTATAAGGTAGATATGGTGAGTTGGCACTCAGCATCCATCTTCAACTCTTTCTTGTACTGCAGCGGCCAGAAATTTGTAAACCACATTTATCAGATCCTTGCAGCTAGCCTAGACGTGAATTATATTCTGCCAGTTGGATGAACTGGAGAGATCTGGGAGACAGTAAGGAGATGGAGATCACCTTCCTGCTGCTTTGATGTTTTCTGCTGCTTAGCAAAGCCATAGACACTTGGGTAAGGAGCAGTTGGGGTGGGCAATGGCTTTCCTATTGCAACAGCTCTGCAGGGTCTGGTCACCAGATTCATGGATGTCAAGAAGCAATGTGGCAGTAGGAATGGCAGCAGGAATGGTAGCAGCCTCCTGATCCCTGAACCATAGCTTCAGTAGGTGCCTTCCTCACCTTTCAGGACATGGCAGAGGAATCCCTTGGAAGGCCAGTTTGGCAATGTGGATCTGAGAGTTATTCCTGGAGGCCCAGCCTAGGTTTCAGCTCTAACGATATTGTGTATAGTAGCAAGAGAGCATAATAATGAAGGAGCCATTCCTGAGTATCAGAATACAGCCACCAGCCCTGGTCCTAGACCTCTGTGCAAGGCCCGTTTGGAGGGAGTTGACATCCCAGATACCATCACCCAGTGCTTTGGCCACACTGTCAACAAAGAGGGAGAGCCTAGGGACCCAGGAGCAGAGCAGTGATCCTGTCCTGTAGGGTGGACCTGGAGACTCAGAATGACTTGGCTGGTTCCACTGGGGTCTTATGTAAAGTTCCTGAATGTTGAAGTTTTGAAGATGTCATCATACTGCCCTAGCCCATCTGGGAGCCAGCCTCCATTTCAAAAGCAGGGCGGGGTGTACAGAGGGTAGAGGGTGAAGAGCACTTGACTTGGAGTCATGGACCTGTTCAAACCCTGGTTCCATCATTTACTAGCTGTGTGGCTCTTGCGCATTGGTTGGCATGCTTCCTCATCTGTTGGTAGGCATTCGTACTTAACACATGGTGAATGAAACACAGAAAAAGATAAAATAAAAATCTCGTGGTGAAGGATATATAATTTGGGAGTATTGAGAGGAAAGGAGTTAAGGGTACAGAGGTAAGAGGTCCAGACTTTCTCCAAAATCTTACTTGTTTTTTTTTCCACAATAATTGCTCCAACCCTGGCACCCACCTCTCCACCTATGCAACACACAGACATATTAACACCCTACCCAGATTTCAGCCAATGCCGTGGATCCCACCGGGGACACACTTGTCTGCCAGAGAGGAGGCTCTGTGCCTTGGAGCAACTGCAGCTGGTATGATGTCTCCTAGAACAAAACCATGTGGTGTGGTACCAGGGTGTGTGTGTGGGGGGGTCATTTTGTCTTTGTTTTTCTCAATGTGCACTAATCCACATATCCATTAATTTTAAGCCAGGTTTATCTGTTGGGAGGGCTGGGAGGACCTCTAGATTTGCAGGATCCCTCCCATTTATATATCTGGCCGTGTATTCCCAGAGTCTCTCACTTTCCCAAAGACAGTGCTGTGTTTCCTAAAAGCTCTGTGATTCATACTTTGGAATGAATCTCTCCATAAAACAGACAGAAGAAATGGAGGCAAAAGCTAGTCTTACTCCAGATCCGCATGTCAAATAAGGAAGTAGTGGGTGCGAGCCATCAGGCCCAGAGAACACAGAGATGATTCACTTTACTGTCTTTTCAAACGATGGTGATGGGCAAGGGTCAGACCTGGGGGTTTAATCAGCAGATTGGGAGTGGAATGTTGACCTGCTCACACGTCTGCAGACTCTACTGCTTGAGTCCACTGGTAATCGTCCATGTGATGTGGCTGGGACCCCCTACTGGGGGACAGTCCCCTGACTCCTGTTCTGTGGATGCCTGTGCCATCTGCCTTACCAGCTGCCCCATGCGCTTTCACTGATGAGACCCAATGATGTCAGTTGCCTCCTCCCCACATCGGGGGCCACACTGTCCTCGCGCTGCTGCCATGCCCACTCCACTCAAGAGCCAATCCCCTAGTGAACGGCTCAAGGCTCCAGAATTGGACAGGGGTGTGGCAGAGGAACACTAAAGCCCCAGTGGAGGGAAAGCATTAGCTAAATTCTGGGTGAGAGGCGCCATGTCTCTGTGTTTACATGGGTGGACTTGGGGCCATCTGGTAGCCATCCACCACAACTGCTCACACCTGTCATTTTTCCCTCTCCTCACCTTTCTCCACAAATATACTTGATTCTCCACGGCTTAAAAAGAATCCCTCTTCCCTGCTCCATGCCTTAAGCTGTCGCCCTGTTTCTCCCTCCATCCTGAAGTCCCTGAAAGGGTAATCTCCCCTTATCTTTCCGTACTCACAATGCACTCACTCCTGAAGCCTCTGCATGCCAGTTTCTAACCCCTGCGCTTTTCTTTTCTTTTTTTTTTAAGATTTTATTTTTTATTTATTTATTTGAGAGAGAGAATGAGAGAGAGAGAGTACATGAGAGGGGGGAAGGTCAGAGGGAGAAGCAGACTCCCCGCTGAGCAGGGAGCCCGATGCGGGACTCGATCCTGGGACTCCAGGATCATGACCTGA